CACCGCAGGGGTTTCTATAAGCATCTAAATGAATGACCCCGATATTTGTATCTCATTGCAATATGAATGAAACGTCTTAATGTACCAATCAAATTAATTATAAACCTTAACGCTATATTTCAGACGTTGGTTCGATTTACAGGAGAAATACCACATTGAGAAATTAATTCTAACTAAATTTTTCGTAACATAACTTGAAACAGTCTACCGGATAAGATTTATTATGACTACAGTCATAAATGCATCATCTTTTATTGAGCATGCTCGGATTTTTTTTACAACCTTAGTAATATGCTATATTGAGATAAGGACACGAATGCATTTTTCGTGATTATTGTCATGCTGTTTAACGCAGGGGTTTGTTAACACTAGCTATTCAACAGTAACAATTTATTTTCCTTACAATTTAATGATACCACAGCCGTCATTCCTAACCGACACACGCATTTCTAATGATATAATTAATTTGTATCTTTACATGATTGCCGTCTTACCATCCTCTAATTAATGTTTTACATTGACCTTCAATGGGAGAAAAGAAAAAAGGTCATTATAGACAGGGAGTCACTGTGGACAGTCTCTACATAATTCGGATATATGAAGATATCATACCAATATTCTGTTGAAAAGCAGGATTGAACCATACTAAGGGTTTAATTATATTTTTATTGATATTAAACATATCAAATATCATTTTTAAAAAACAAGAGAGTATTAAAATTGCATTTATAATTGGTTAAGATTATAAACTACACCATAACATTAGTATTTAAAAGTTACATATTCATTAAAATGTAATTTATATTCATAAATCTGTTTGTAAAATAATGTTTAATTTCAATTTTCAATCAGCCTGTTTAGTTTACGGAGTTCCATGTATTAATAAAACATTAGATACAAATCTCCACAGAATTTCTACAGATAAGTGCTCCGAAAAAAATTAACAATCGAGGTTTCAAACATAACCACACCTTTAAGACGTTTGACATTGTTTATCTTTACTCGCCAAAACACCACAGCAATCATGTATATGCAGCTGTCTTTAATCATTTTATCGACGAAAATTGATTGAATCTGTTGCCATTTTGTGTAATTGTCAACAAAAAGCCACAGTGTATAAGCGTGTCGCCGATTGGGCAATGCAAACTGCCGTAGATACAACGGGCGTACTGATTCGTCAATCGCATGAATACGTAATGAGAAAGATAAACATAGTGAACTCTTGCCTTGCGGCGTGTATTGAACTTTGTTGATGTTGACACGCGTTCTTAATTAGCGGATTAACGGTAATTGGTTGTAATTGAGAGGTAAACAAATTATTAACAGACCTAGCGGCGTAAATAAGTGTGACGGAAAAAGGATAAAAATCGGGCGACTTCAAAATCTCTTTGAAGCAAAGTCGCTGATCCGAAGGCGACTTCTTCGCCAAAGTCGTCACCTAGTTCAAGCCTTGCTCCCCTTGCAAAAGTCGCTCTTCACGGCTCAAATACCGTAACGGGTGACTTAATCATGGTCGACAGGGAGTCGCTACATACAGACCATTTATATAGTAAATACTGTTCGGCGCACCTAACTATGGTCACTAAAGACAGAACGTCGCTATATACAGGGGGTCGCTAAGACAGTCTTTACTGTATACTGTATTTTTTCATTTGATTCTTTCAAAATTCTTTTCGTAAAATGTTCATACTTTCTTGATTATGTTAGAAAAAGCTTGTTTAAATTATTGAAATTCAGAAATATGTAAATTGTCGTTTAGCCAGACCGCTGACATGTTTATTGCAATTTACGGGTCTGACACATTTATATTTATTTACGTCACACGTACGACAACATGACTATTATCATTAATTTATCTAAGACATTTATTTGAAATTGTCTTCTCTGATTATCTGTTTGACTTAATGAAAGGAATTAACATGACGCTGGTTTTTGACATCTGCCGTGTTAATCAGTCTTAATCGAAACATTTTTATTGGTCAAATCTATAATTTTATATGTGATAAAATGTATTTTTATTGGTTAATATTTTTTCTTGTTTAAGGGTCGTTTTTCATTGGTTCATTGTCTTTCATTATTTTATATTAACTAGAACTACCACTAAATGTGATTAATACCCCAAAACTGCTTCAGAAGTGAGGAAGTTACTAGTAACAGAATACCTTGCAAAAGAACTGAAATAGAGTTATGGTTGTGGGCAATTAAAGATAGTTTTGGACCTGTATGTTGCATTTTCTTTAAATGTGGTTGACCATTGATGAAGTTTTATTGAATTACTATGTAATAAGTCCAAAAATAGTTACGCTTCTTGAGCACTGCACTTTCACTCATTGCGCTTGACCATTGAATAAAGTTTCATTGAGTTCTAAACATTAGTTTTGAAGTTTTTGCACCTTTTACAACCATTAATTTTCAAGTTATGCACTGGACAATAAAAAGTAACAAAGGTCGAACAATATTTAACTGAGTCAAGAAAGAGTTATGGTTTCTGTGCACTGCGCTTTCTCTCAATATACTTGACCATTGAATGAAATTGTATTGAATTCCAACTGGTGGTTTTCAAGTTATGCTCTGGACAAGAAAAAAGCAATTAAAAAGTAACAAAGGCAATGACTCTATAATTACTCTGAACAGAGTTATGGTTCTTGTGCACTGCACTTCCACTTATTGTGCTTGACCATTGTATGAAGTTGTCTTGAATTTCAACCAGTACTTTAAACGTTATGCTCCGGGCAAAGAAAATTATAAAAGGACAATAACTATGAAATTTGTCAAAATAGTGTTATTGTTCTTGTACACTGCAATTTCTCTTAATGTGCTTGATGATTGTATAAAGTTGTATTAAATTCTAAATACATGTAGTAGTTTTCAAGTTATGCTCCGGACAAGGAAAAGAAACAAAGGACAATAACTCTGTAATTAGTCAAGATTGTGTTAATGCTCTTGTACACTTTACTTCCTCTCAATGTATTTGATCATTGTATGAAGTTGTATTGAATTCCAAATATCAGTCTTCAAGTTATTCTCCGGACAAAAAAAAGCAAAGGAAAAATAAACTAGAACTCCGCGAGTCGGAGGTGTCGCCATGTGAACAATGTAGTTTAGGAGAAATGGCCAGGACAAAATGAAATATGAAAAATAACAAAGAGCAATAACTACAAAAATAATAAGTGCAGAGCAGCAGTTTCTGTGCACTGCGCTTTAATTCTATAAGATCTATCATTCTATGATGTTTCAAGTCCATAGCTTTCATACTTGAGGAGAAATGACCAGGACAAAAATAAAGTATGAAAATTAACAAAGGGCCATAACTCAAAAATTAAGAAATGCAGAGTACCGATTCTTGTGCACTGCACTTCTTCTTAATGAGATCTATCATCCTACGAAGTTTCAAGTCCATAACTTTTATACTTAAGGGGAATGGCCCGGACAAAATTAAAGTATTAAAATAAAAAAGGGCAATAAATAAAAAAATAACGAATGCAGAGTACGTGTTCTTGTTTACTGCACTTCTTCCTAGTGAGACCTATCATCCTATGAAGTTTCAAGTCCATAACTTTTATACTTAAGGGGAATGGCCTGGACAAAAATTAAGTATGAAAATTAACAAAGGGCCATAACTCAAAAATTAAGAAATGCAGAGTACCGATTCTTGTGCACTGCACTTCTTCTTAATGAGATCTATCATCCTACGAAGTTTCAAGTCCATAACTTTTATACTTAAGGGGAATGGCCCGGATTAAAGTATTAAAAAAGGGCAATAACTCAAAAAATAACAAATGCAGAGTACGTGTTCTTGTTTACTGCACTTCTTCTTAGTGAGACCTATCATCCTATGAAGTTTCTAGTCCATGGCTTTTATACATATGGACAAATGGCCCGGACAAAAATAAAGTATAAAAATTAACAAAGGGCAATAACTCAAAAATTAGGAAGTGCAGAGTACCGGTTCTTGTGCACTGCACTTCTTCTTAATCATCCTATGAAGTTTCAAGGCCATAGGTTTTTTAGTTGAAGAGAAATGGCCCGGACAAAATTAAAGTATGAAAATTAACAAAGGGCAATAACTCAAAAATTAAGAACTGCAGAGTACCGGTCATTGTGCACTGCACTTCGGGTTATTGAAAGAAGCATGCATACCAAGTTTGAAGTCAATCAGTTTTATAGTGACTGAGTTATGCTCCGGACAAGCTTTAGGGGACGCCGACGCCGACAACGACGCCGACGCCGACACAGACGCCGCCGACCCTGCCGACAAAAGTAACCCCTATATGTCACCTCTTCAAGGCGACACAAAAAGGGCAATAACTATGTAATTAATTTAGACAGAGTTATGGTTCTTGTACACTGCACTTCCTCTTATTGTGCTTGACCATTGTATGGAGATGTTTTGAATTCATATCAGTAGTTTTCAAGTTATGCTCCGGACAAGAAAGTGATAAAGGGCAATATCTCTGTCAAGATAGAATAATGGTTATATGTCCTCTTAATGTGCTTGACCATTGTATGAAGTTGTATTGAATTACAAAGTTATGCTCCGGACAAGGAAAGTGCAACGGACGGCTGGTCTGACAAACCGACCAACCAACAGATCACCGAGTGACTCCTGTATACCCCCCCCCCCAAAAAAAAAAAAAAAAAAAAAAAAAACAAACTTCGTTTCGGGGGTAAAATAATGAAAGAGACAGAACTTATGGATATAGAAGGATTCAGGTAGTCAGACACTAAACATGTAATGGTTTATGCAATGGTTTAAGTTTTAAGCTTTCCGCCGCAGTTTTCTGCGGTGCAATTTAATGTACATATATTGTTGTTTTCAACCGGCTGGAATTATTGTTACTATAAATAAGAAAAAAAACTATGTAATAAAAACAGGAAAATGGACTCACTGAGATTGTAATATACTTGTGACCAAAAGGATAAAAATTTGGACATAAATAATTATTATACCTAAACGGAGTAATTACACAACAGAAATGTTTTAAATGTTAAAGAATATTATGGACACGGAAACCTACCTCACCATCCAAGTACCTCCCCACCCAAGTACCACCCTTAAAACCCGAACCACACATGGTGAAGAAGAGAGGCGAGTATCTCGGTACCTCGAGTCAGCAGCCAAGCGAGTGAAGAGATGTGATGCTGTATGTTTTCTAACCATTCCCAAAACAAAATTGAAGTGATACAAAAAATCAACATGCTGAGAACATTTAGAAACTTATTATGCCAGGTACATGGATAACAATTTAAGGACAGCCGAACGCAAAACAAGCAGACACAACTTTGGAACAATATATTATGATAGAAAAAAGATTTAAAAATACAATTAACTGATTTGTGGGAACTTAATTTTCAATAAACGAATACGAAAAGTGAAAGTTTAAGACTATGCCGGATATTATCAGACGAAATGTATGAAAAGATGTAGCGGTGAAAGAATAAAACATATTACAGAACATTTTGTTATATCAATTCACATGTTTAATTCTCAGAGACTTAATGTCAGTATTGTCTTAAAGGTATGTTTGCCTAAAATTGGGCTTTATTTTATTGATAATTTGGACATGGGATTTAATTTCTTTTGAAAATTGATGGTAGAACGGTCATTCTTATTTTTGCTTACTAGGTAACTGCTCTTTTGGACGTCATCACTATAGATTAGATGTTTGTATGTAAATTTCTGTTAGTTAATTGAGTGTGTGAGAACTATTTTTAATCTTATTTATTTTTTAAAATGGGTGTATATACCGGTGTACATGTATTTAATTGAGCTGATGTCTAAATTGGTAATTTGATTTTGTTGAATTTACTTTAATTAGGTTGGCTTTCTTCATCATAATTTTATGTGCCACTTTGATATCTGGTACAGAGATGCATATGTTGATAATTGCATTATATATGATAATGGGTGATGCTACATATAATTGTTGAGAAAAAAAATGATAGTATTATTAATTAAGTATCGTCTATCTAAGGCATTCGTTGGCGAATTGATGTTGAATTATTCTATAATCATGAAAAGATGAAATGTACATTTTTAAAGACTTAGCCATTTGATGTTGAAAATACTTACAAACTTTCTTTGAATTAGCATGTACTTTGTAAATTCAATTTGCTTTTTGATTTTTATACTTATAGACTATAATGTCTGGTTTTTATACTGGTATTTTAAAATGTCAAAATAGCTTATATTACGTCTTATTACATGCTGAGGTATAGCTATGTTAAAGTTGATTTTACTAAATGTATTATAAATATAATATTGTAAGGTCATAAACAGAAAATTGAATAATGACTTTTACAGATGCTATGTTGAATCAAAAGTTAGAATTTGGATTTCCAAGAGATAACGTAATTTAACCCTTTCGCTACCAGAGGGTTATTGTTTTATTGATCACCTATTTGCCAGAGGGTTTTCTAAGAAATAACTATATTATTAATTAATATAATTATTAGTATTTGTTATAAGTATTAAACTAATTGTTTATGCTTCCAAATCTATTAGTATAATAATAATTATTGTCGATGGTATAATTTTCTATACATTTATTATTATTTTTATTATTATTATTATGAATTTATTATTCTTAATATTATTATTATAAAAATGGCTAAAGCCGTCCATATCGCAAATACGCCGAAAATAACAGGGACGGCATAAGCCGTCCCTATGGCAGTGAAAGGGTTTACACTATACAAAAGCGCATAATACTTGTTGTAATCACTTTTATTATTTAAATATATTCAAGGAACATTCACTTTATGGAATAAAGTAAAGAAAAGGCGGAGGAGGTGATGTTTTACTGTGTCTTTTCATTTGATTCTTTCATATTTTCTTGATTATGTTAGGAAAAGCTTGTTTAAATCATTGAAATTCGGAAATATGTATATTATCAATTACCCAGACCATAAACATGCTTATTGCAATTTACGGGTCTGACACATTGATGTTTATTTACGTCACATGTATGACAAGATGATTAGTATCATTAATTTTATCTAAGACATTTATTTGAAATTTTCTTATCTGATTATCTGTTTGACTGAAAGAAAGGAATTCGCTGGTTTTTGACATCTGATGAGGTAATCAATCTTAATCGAAACATTTCTATTGGTCAAATCTATACTTTCATATTTGATAAAATATATTTTCATTGGTTAATTATTTCTTGTTTAAGGGTCATTTCTTCATTGGTTCATTGTCTTTTTATTATTCTAATATTAATAAAGAAAGAGATAGAACTTTTGGATAAAGAAGGATTCAGGCAATCAGACACTAACATGTAATGGTTTAAGTTTTTAGCTTGGGCGCCTCAGTTTTCTGCGTGCAATTTAATTACATATATTGTTGTTTTTAACCGGCTGGAATTATTGTTATTATAAACAAGAAAAAAACTATGTAATAAAAACAGGAAAATGGACTCACTGAGTTTGTAATATATACTTGTGACCAAAGGATAAAAATTTGGACATAAATGATTATTATAGTTAAACGGAGTAATTGCATAACAGAAATGTTTTAAATGTTAATGAATATTATGGACACGGAAACCTACCTCCCCACCCAAGTACCACCTTTAAAACCCGCACCACAAATTGACCCGATTAAAACCATGAATTAACCGTTATTACAAATTTAGTCTAAAAACTTAGAAATAAACGTTTCCAATCATTTTCTCTCCGATACCAGAAATTATTCGACTCTCTTTTAAACGACATTATTGATGGCCTGGACATGCATCTGGTCCATAGTAACGATTTCTTGTACGCATGATTAAAATAATGCTATTTATCATGATCAATGAAAAGACAGTCAAAAGCATATATTTGATTTATGAATCTTTGAAGTATACGATTCATGGACATATGTTTTAATGTCTGGGCAAATTATATGTGGCAATGATTGTACAACTTTCCGAATAATAGCTAATCTTGTTAATTAATATACATTTTGTACTCATTAACTTATTTTTACTAAAATACTTCGGTTTAAAGGGTTAGAGTCGATGACTTATAATCCAGTTACCCCTCTGGCGTGGGTTCGATCCCCGGGAGATGCTTTTGTAGTTTAGCTTGGAGGAAGGTAGTCTTGTACCGGTGTAACTGTCCAGGAACGATGGTTTGGAAACTACCCGCCTATATGACTGAAGTACTGTTTGGAAAAGGCGTAAAATGAAGCAAACAAACAAAACTAAAATGATGTTTGTTATCTTTAAAAACTTTTTTTGTTAAAATGTCGACAAATAGCTTATAACTTATACTTATATATGACATGTAACTATTTATTACATGATATATAAACAGAAAAACTATATGGCGACTTTTGTAGAAACCTTAAATTGACACTAATAAAATTACATTGAGAAATTGACTGCAATTATTTAACGAATATAGAAGGATCAGGTCGAGTTACAATATAAGATTAAGATGTATTTAACTTTTAACGTGTAAACACCGAACGGGATGGGGAACTAAGGATTGACAAATTTAAAATAGTCCTTTAATAATGATCGTAACTGTTTTTTATTGTTCTTAATAGGAATATTGCTATATCATTGTATTCTTTTTGTTTAATTGATCTGGTTGAATTCATAGAAATCCACCTGGTGTGAATTTAGTATAAAAGAATAATATTTGTTAACAGATGGAAAATAAGGGCAGGCACTTTTAATAGAACAATAAAAAGACAAGCGCAATACTCTCGATTATTACATATTTCATAGAAACACAGAATTACAAATGAAATACCTAATTAAGGTATCATTATTAAAGAAAACATATATTTATTAAATATCACAAGAAATTACACTACATCAATATGGCTGTCAGACAGGTTTTGAAACAAAATAAAGGTCCTTAAAAGCACATGCCACACACAAAAATAGCAGTTTATATGCCCTGACTATGAGCTGAGAGTTATGGAATATTCTAAAGGGTGGCTTACCTTGTTTGTTGTGATTACATGTATAACTTTGGAACAGCTTTACTCACTGATTCATGTCTTATTTGTAACATTTATGTTTTGAGGGACACTGGTTAGGACATCCAGTACTCAAGCAGAGTCAATCAGACTCCTAAACTTCAGACTCCTAATAGAGAAGGTGTTTGTTTGCACTCTTGAATAAATTTGTGGACTAACTTTTATGGTGGCTAAGTTAGTAATAGGACATTCCGGACAATGGACATTTCCTACCAGACACGTCGAACCAGATTTTGGGACACATCAGAACTGATTATTTGACATATTTTGGCCCATACATTGGACCACCAAACTTTTAGACACTTTATACTTATGTATGGGATGTATTGGACCAGATGAAACATAAATTTTTGTTTTATACATGTATATCGTTATTTTTACGAAGACCTGGTAAATCGACAAAATACCAAGGGCGCCGGGCACAAATAGAACATAATTTCTTAATAAGTTTTACTTTCAAGTTTTCAAGTTTTCGTATGGTGCCTAGGGAATCAATAGTACAACATGGTACATATTAGCTAGCCACCATAGAATTTTCTTATTTAGAAAAAAGGCTAGCTATGCATATGCAATGTTTAAGCAGCCAGACAGCTCAGTCTGTATAGCCGCGGTACGATATTTTGAGGGTTTCGGGTTCTATTTTATGCCAGGCTGCACTTTTTTCTCACTCTGTGCTAGAAAGCCCAGCTAGAAATAAATTCACATTGCTAAGTAACATTGGTGAAACGTCAGAAAATGAACATGTAAAGGGGGGGGGGGTGCTAGTCAGATTACCATCAGATATAATGTCTGACGAACCTCACTTCGGATATATTGCTTCGCATATAATCACCTGTTTGCTGAATTGAATATCAAAAATGTTGCAATGAAATAGTAACTAAATCTCAAGCGTATGTAAAATAGGATAAAAACTTATCTTCGGCGTAATTAAAGCACTTTAAAATGTGGTATTCACCACGAGGTCACAAACTTTAAAACTTTAATGTTAATATCACAATTATATTTCTTTATATTATATTTATATTCTTTGACAGGAACACTGAACATCTTTTACATTTTTAAGAAACCCGAAATTTACAAAATATATCTATCTTAAATATTCTTTAACTTCTCAATAGTAACAAAACACGGTACTTAAACGTTTAGACGAACGCAAACGCACGCAAAACGTTTCTTCGAATAAAAAAATGCACGCTTTCAAACGCACGATAAACGAAACATGATACACAAAAACGGTAAACGTTAAACGCTTGTAAACGATGGACGCTTGAGAAAGCGTTTCAACAAACTCACGTTGCACGATATACGCATGCACGATGTAGGAAAAACGCACGCTTGAGACACGCTATTTTTCTAAAAGTAATATGTTCGATTAATTTATTTTAAACGTTGTTTAATGAAATAATTTTTTAAAAGTTTTTTTTTATCTGTAATAAGATAATTTATATACTAATACCGCCTAATAAGTTTCATGATCTCCACATTAAGGACCGAGGACATGACCCTGTCAAGCAACTTCTGGAAAATTTAAATAATTATGTTATTCTAAAAATAAAAGCATGATATCATTCTTCATCAAAAATCCAATATAGCCAACCCCCAAACGCAGAACGTGACGTTAACCCTACGCACATGTACATTACGTGTGATTATCCTTCTTTTGTTGACACCTGTGTGGGGGGCTGATGAAATTGCTCTTGGTGAAATGTCTGGACTAAACCGCGAGTAAACTCATTCATTTCTTTTATGAGTTTGACATTAAAGGATACACATCGCGTAAGCATTTTTGTGACAGAAAGTGTAATCACTCGCGCGTTAAATATTTTGTATTTTCGTATATAGTCATGCACGAAGTAATTGAGTAGATATAAAAAAATGCGTAAAATTGAGATGCTAAAAAAATATATATACACTTAACGTGTATAGCTTGAGAGGAAACAATCATCCATGCAGAACATTGTCGATATCTACATTATTTGCGGTCGTAGCAAAGTCAAGTTGGATATCGAACCAAATGTTTTTTGGACGTCCTATCGAGCGCTTTAGATCGATTGTACATAAAACCACGTGCTTAAAAACGCATTCCCCCAACTAGAGCCGAATCTCTGACACTAAATGACGCAAACAAGCTCTAGATCGAGTATTCAAGTCAGCTATGTATGCTTACGGGAGATTTAAGAATA